CTAAAACAAACACTATAACGAACGTTAACTTTAACAATACCCTGTGACTGCAGTTCAATTACTCACTATCTACACACATATTACATTATTCTCCCGTCACGTTGTCACCCTCTTTTATATACCAGACTACCCTATATCTAGTAAATACTAGAGCATTCGCCAAGGTACTGGATAGTTCTAGAAACGTGGCATCACACTAGTCATGTGACTCCCTGACGCAACTATACTATAGAGAAGTAACATTTGAATGATGAGTTTCATCAATTATATAAATTTGTCATGATAAATAGAATATTAATGCTCTTTGAATAAAAACTAAATAGGTATTGCTAGCTTAAAATGTGAAAAAAATTTGAAAAAGTAATTTATAAAATAACATTTTATATGAATGAAGCCTGATTTAAAGGTGTATCTTTAAATAAGTAGAAAATCAGCTGGCTTGTCTATAAAAGCATATAAATAATTAAATTGTAAGATAATTAAAACTAATGAAAAATTAATGAAATAAACTAAACTAAAATCACACCACAAAGTTTCAAATGTAAAGTTCTTCAAATAACTTTGAAGTGTCAAAATACATTTATTCAAAGTAATGTTTGGTATCATCATTATTTTGAAGATTAATTTAGGTTATGTATCTTCTTTTAATCAAATGAACTAAAAAGTAATTTTATATTTTCAGGTGGTTAGCTGTTCGTTTAGATTGTTTGAGCTCCATTATTGTATTATCAGCTTCACTTTTTGCTGTTCTTGGTAGAGGCTCTGTCAGTCCTGGAATTGTGGGGTTGTCTCTTTCTTATGCATTAAATGTAGGTTTGTTGTTTTGATTTTTTTTCTTAGGTAATACCTAGTTTTCAAAAAAACTAAAGATATAAAAATTGTTTTTTAAGTACATTAATTTCTTTTACAAACATAGATTTAATGAATGAACTTTACCAATAATGGTTAAATATTGTGAGACCACACCAGAAACATATTAAAAATTGTAATTTTTTTATTACAAGTTCTAAAATTACCTGTTTTACAGAACTAGCTGTTTGTCAGTTGATCTTTTGATATGAAAGGACATTAGCTAGCAAAATGAATTCAAGGTAAAAAAAGTACCAAATATCTAATTAAAATTTAATAAAAACTTTTAAAACTCAGTTAAAATGTCAATAAGATCAAACTTAACTATATATAACCCAAAGTAATAAAACGAAATAATATGAAAATAAAAATTTATAAGAAAAAGCATAATTAGAATTAAATGATGTAGACCACATGACTTAACAATAAGACTATGGCAACTAGATGTTAATCATTGTCATGATTAATAGTTTATATGATCATTAAATCATACCATGTCCATTTGTAGTACTGTTAATCCAGTCATGACTTCCAGTACTGAAATATCACATGACATGTGTGTAGAAATGAAAGTTTTTGCTAGTCAAGGATACTTCATGTGAAAATTGCTGGAAGAATCCATGTTTCAGTATGAGCTGTATGCAAGGTTGATGAGGACATGTGAAACTGGCATTGTTAGTAATAGAAGTGGTTAAGATAGAAAATCAGAGCTCTTCAAAAATGATATTAAATATCTCAGGATATGTCCCTTGCAAGACAGATGATGGTTGAAATTGGCATAACAAAGCAGTAGGTGTGTATTCTTTATATATGAATCCAAATTTGAATTATTCAGCAATAATCAACAACGGTTTGTTTGATGGCAGTGAAGAGAACAGTGTAGTTTATAATGAAGAAAGATGGGAGATCATTACAAGTTTGGGGCTGAATTTCAGAAAAGGATGTCAGTGATCTAATCAAAATTTATGGCACCTAGATTTCAGGGTTGAAAATTCATGAATTAATTCATTGTAGTTGATGGTGCTCACCACCTGGTGTTCACTGGACATAATTGCTAAATCTGACAGTCATTCCTGCACAATCAAGGACTGGAGATAATATTAAGTTTACTGGGACAGAAGCCTCAACCTGTGATATTGCACATTGAGCAGCTTCTCATTTTCAGAACATTACTGCTGACAAGTACAGGAAAATTCTGATCAATCGCATCATTCCCTGAGGGACACAACTCATTGGATGGGGATACAGTACATGTGGTGAAATGGTGTCTTAGCTACAAAGAAACCAATAGAACATTTAAAAATCAGGATTGTTCTGCAAAAACGTCAGATATGAACATTCTTTATATAGGTTTGTATAAAAACAGAGAAGGTTTAAAGGCTAAATATAACTCTGCTAAATTGTCAGGAGTAATACAATTTCAATCAGTATTCCACTACCATACACTAATAAACTATATGGTAGCATGAAAAGAAGGAACAAGATGTAATGTTCTGTGTAAAGCAAAGGGCTTACATACAAAATAATAGTGTATTGTACAACTTACTCACTTTTGTGATAATGTTTTTTACCATGTTGCTGCCATTACTCATTGTATCTGACTCCTGTACATATCTCTTGTTTTTTTTTCCATAATTCTTTTCATGACTTTATATATTAATATGAATTATTTAATGTAGTAAGCCAAGTTATTTATTTCAGTAGTATATTCTTATAATTGTTTTAATATAAGGAGGTTTATATTCATATGATTATATTAATATACATTTAGTTATAGTTTTGTTTTCAGTCATGTTTTTCCCATTCCAGAGTTTTATCATAATGGTTTGAAGTTGATATTCACAGGTAACAGAAGCTTTGACACTACTTATAAGGAAGTCTGCAGAACTGGAAACAAGAATTGTGTCTGTTGAACGAATAGATGAATATGACTACCTTCCTGAAGAGGTACATAATAAAAAACTTCCTGTTATGTTTTATAATATATAAAGACGAAATGTGGATTTGTTTGCTCGTCCGAGCCTATTGGGCCAATCTCAACCAAAATTTGTATGTGAACACTATGAACTATGGGGAATGTCCTAAGGGGATCAAATTGAACTTATCCTTATTTCCATTTTGTAAAGCCTGTTGGTTAATTACTCCCAGCCTATTGAGTCAATCTCAAACAATCTTGGCAGGTTGACACTGTAGACAATGTTGAATATTCTAAAGGGATTCAAGGTCAAAATATGAAAGTTGTTGGATTGTTCTCAAACAACAATGCTTTTCCTATGGTCAGTAAGATGTAGGGTGTTCAAGGGTGGGATCACCGCAAATCTTT